TGTGTGTTTTGTCTGAAATCCCCCTTGTGTATGTGTGTGTATGTTGTCTGAAATCCACCTGTGTGTGTGTGTGTTGTTTGAAATCCCCCTTGTGTATGTGTGTGTGTTGTCTGAAATCCCCCTTGTGTATGTGTGTGTGTGTGTTTTCTGAAATCCCCCTGGTGTATGTGTGTGTGTTGTCTGAAATCCCCCTTGTGTCTGTGTGTGTGTGTGTTGTCTGAAATCCTCCTGGTGTATGTGTGTGTGTTTTCTGAAATCCCCCTAGTGTATGTGTGTGTGTGTGTTGTCTGAAATCCCCCTTGTGTATGTGTGTGTGTGTGTTGTCTGAAATCCTCCTGGTGTATGTGTGTGTGTTTTCTGAAATCCCCCTAGTGTATGTGTGTGTGTGTGTTGTCTGAAATCCCCCTAGTGTATGTGTGTGTGTGTATTGTCTGAAATCTCCCTTGTGTATGTGTGTTGTCTGAAATCCCCCCCTGTGTGTGTGTGTGTTGTCTGAAATCCTTGTGTGTGTGTGTTCCCAGGTGAGTTCTGTGTGGTTCAAGCTGTTCATCTACCACCTGACGGGCTGCGGGCCACCCTCGCTGCTGCTCATGAAGGGGACAAAACTCCACCGTCTGCCGCGCGTGTTTAAGGTAAGCCGGAGTGTTATGCTAGTGCTGACAAACCAAACTAAAGAAAACGTCTCATAGTTTCATCTCAAATTATTCGGAAGCTCGCCTTCTAAATGATTTAAAACTGTATTGATGGGGGCATAAAAGGCCTACATTAATTTAGTATAATTTTATTATCTTTAGAAACACCTCTAATCTTCAGCACTTATGTAACCTAATATTGGCAAGTGTCGTAAAACTCTTTACTAAAACTAAAACTAAGCTCTGTTCAAGGACTCTAATTATTATTAAGTTGTTCTCGCTCTACCTCAGCTTCTTTTTCCCTCTATTTACTCATGATTGGAAAAATTTCAATGTGTTTTAGTGTGTCAGTTGGGGTGTAAAACATTACTATGAAATCGTGGGTGCTCTAGTGTGGTCTGCTCCTTCTTATCAATCATCTATCCTCCTTATCTCTCCTCCTTACTTTTTTGTGTTTGTTGCTCTCTTGTGGTTCCTGTAATCTTTGGCACTTATATGACCTTATTGTGTTACAAGTGCTCTAAAACATTTACTAACTAAAACATTGCTTATTGTGTTGCAAATGCTGTAAAACTCTTACTAAAACTTACCTAAAACATTGCTATACAATCAGTTATCGTCTCCTGTTGGTGCTGTTGTCCCCAGCAATACGACCGTCTCCTGGTGACGACCTGGGGTCATGACCCCGGGGTCATAGCCTCCTCCAATATCCTGCTCACCCTCAATGATGCACTCACTCACTCGGCCGTCTTTGTGCAGGTAGGTCAGAGGTCGGAGGTTGGCTTGGTCTCATCTCACACCGGTCAGTTACTCATTGATTTGTCGCTTTTCTCTTTCTCTCCCTGGAAACACTTTTTGTCCCCGTTCTTTCTCTCTCTTGTGGATAAACATTTTGTCCCCATTCTTTTTCTTTCTCTCTCTCTCTATGGAAAATCATTTTGTCCCTGCTCTTTCTCTCTCTCTGAATTAAACTTTTGTCAGAGGTTTTTCTCTCCTGCTCCTCTCTGGATTTACATTTTGTCTCTATTCTGTCCTGCTGTTTGTCACTGTTTCGTTTATTTCTGGCTCATCAACTGTCACTGTTGTTTCACTGTGTGGATCATTATTTTCCACCGTTCTGTTTCTTTCTGGATCATCATTTGTCTCTGTGTGGATCATCATTTTGTCACTGTTGTGTCTGTCCAGGGTCATGGAGTACATGCGGAGGGCCTGGCTGTACATGTGCCTTTCCCGTTTGACAAAACACAAGGTTAGTTAGTGCTGTGTGTGTGTGTGTATGTGTGTGTGTGTGTGTGAGAGTGTGTGTGTATATTTGAGTGTGTGTGTGTGTTTGTGTGTATCTGTGTGTGTGTTTGTACGTGTGTGTGTGTGGTTTTTTTTGAGAGAGCGCGAGAGAGAGAGAGAGAGAGAGAGAGAGGGAGGGAGGGAGGGAGGAAGGGAGGGAGGGTTTACAGGCTCTGTACAGTTATGTACCCACAGCCACTGGTGGTTGCAGAGTGCTCTGGTGTCGTTTGCTTCTTCTTTCCTATCAAACATCTATCGTCCTTGTGTTTCCTCCTTTTTTGTGTTTGTTACTCTCTTGTAACATCTCTACTATTCGGCACTTATATGACCTTATTGTGTTGCAGGTGCCGTAATCCACTTACTAAAACAAAAAAGACACAACCAAATAAATGAAAAGAAGCATGTGGTCTCACTGTCACTATCACTTCATCATCCATAAAAACAACTACATTTAAAAGAAAAAAGTGCTGTAAAACTCTCACTAAAACTCTAAAACTTAATTCTCCCCCTCTGTTTCTCTCTGTCTCTGTCTGTCTGTCTGTCTGTCTGTCTGTCTGTCTGTCTGTCTGTCTGTCTGTCTGTCTGTCTC